ATTTTTTGTGTTATTCTGCTCTACCGACATCTTTTAGGGGCATTTTTGCCATTTTATCATATATCTCACCGTATAGGGGTATTTCGCAAATTAATAAATTATACCTATAGTACCTATACTATAATAGTTTTCTTTTTTTGTTTTTTGGATGATAGTGATTATACTGTCCTTGTCTTCTTTCTTCCATTTGCTGCAGCGGGGCTCTGATTTGGCGCGCCAGTCTCGTCTTCCTCTTCATGATGTTCGTCTTCTACCTTGGACGGATCCCGGCTATGGCGGCGATAGCGATTTACTGTTGACGTCTTTCTCTCATCCGGGGATTACATGTAAAGACGACTACTGCTCATTCCATTTTTATCCATTATCCATTATCCATTATCCATCCTTGATCTTTGAACCGCAAAAACGGGAAAAAAAAAAGGACCAAAAAAAACCGGAAAAGTATCCATTACCCATTATCCACTTATCCATTATCCAATTATCCAATTATGCAATCTATTATCGAATTCTGCAATCATCTATTCTCCGATTATGCAATCATCTATTATCCGACTATCCATTATCCAATAATCCAATTATCCAATTATCCAATTATCCATTATCCAATTATCACCAGTGATCTTGTCACCGGGACGGGAAAAAAAAAAAAAAAAAACACTGGAAAATGGCAAAATGGTCCATTATCCATTATTCAATCATCCAATTGTCCAATCAGAAATTTTCCAACTATCCAGTGATCCGTTATCCTTTATGAAATTATCGAATTATGCAATTAATATTTAATATTTAATAATTATCCACCATTGATTCCATACAATCGCATAAAGCCTAAGGTATCGTCCCTTTAGCTGCCCTTGGTCTTCTCCCTCGCCTTTGCCAATCCCCTCCCCCTCTTCCCCCCCCCCCCCCCCCCCCCTCCCCCCCCCCCCCCCCCCCCTTGAAAAGAACACCCGCCTTTTTTCTCTCTCTGTAATCCCTTCGGACTCGTGCCTCCTGCGCTCAAATAGTCCCCCCTTTCCCGAGTCTTCATGGACTTAACAGTTCTGGAGCACACCAATGGGGCTAGCTCAGTTGGTACACCCATGAGCTACTGAAATACAGATCAGCGCTCAAATCATGTAGGGGCTCGTCAGTTTGGCAAATGAAGTCTTTTTTTTTTTTTTTTTTTTTTTTTTTTTTAACTACAATATATTCTTCACTCAAATCCTTTCATGTTTCACGACCTACGTGCCGTGATTCGTATAAGGCGATACATAGCAATCTACCTCTCTCACGGTTGTCACTCCTGAAAAAAGAAAGCAAGAAAGAGGGAAAAAAAAAAGAGAAGTTCTCGAGCACATGAGCTTCGGCATCTGCTACGGCCTTGTTTTTCGTCGCCGAGTCATCATCGTAGTCGCCGCCTCCTCTCTTTTGCACGAACCTACACTCTTCCGCCGAATACAACGTACGGTCATTATAGCTGAATTTGGTGTATCTTTCAGTCTAAATTCAGCTATAATGACCATGCGTTGTATTCGGGGCAAAACTGTAGCGCGGCCGGGCCCATGTGATATTTTTGTTTTCTCTCTTCCCTTTGTTCTTTCTCTCCCGCTC